GAATTCGGGTCTCCTAAAGGCTAGGGATTTTGGCCCTTGTTCGGTCTCCTTTTTGTCTGCTACAGTGTCAAAATGGTAGGGGGTGTTGATCTTGCTATAATAAGTACTTGCATTTAACACTTTTTTACCCCTCACCATGCACAGATGAATGCCCTGTGCTGAAGGTTGATGGCAGCCAAGAAAACACAAGCAGATATAAAGTTATCATCATGCAGCCGAAAGGAATGTGTTTCCACCTGCTGACCGCTGTGTCTTTGGGCTGCTGGTTGGAGACAATGGGAACACGCTGCTGTGGGAACAGCAATGTCAGCCAGCCCTCTGATGACAAGAGGCAGGCTGGGATCTTTGGGAGTGGGAAGTGGGGAGGGGTGGAGGTGAGAAGGAGTAGGGGTGTGAGGATAGGGCCTGGAAGGGAGCGCTGGCAGGAAACACACTTCTTTCATCTCTCAGAATCAGGACAAAAAACACCCACGGGACCTCCAGCTTCAAAGCCTCTGACCAACTTCGGAGGGACCAAACCTGCTGGCAGAAGCCCACAGCTCCTTCCTGGTTTCTCTGGTCTCAGTGTTTGTGGGCAGACAATATGAGCAGAACTTAAACTGTCTTTTAACTTTCTAGTGATAGAGACCCAAGCGCCCAGAGGGAATCCTACAGCAAACTTGGGCAAGGATATGACTACAGGAAGAAAATAACTGCCCTGAACAGAAGCCTGTCCCCCAGTCAGGGATACACAGTGGTAGAGCTACAGATCTGTGGCTCAAAGGTGGCCAGATGCCATTTGCAGGTGAAGGCAGGAAGCTGCAGAAGGCAGGAGAGAGGCCACCAACTCTTGGGGGAAGGGGGAGAAGCCCAGAGTATGAAATAGCTGGACAGCCAAGGGCTATCAGGGTAGGGCACAGACACACATCAGGGGACAAAAAGCGCAGACATGGCAGGGCGCTGGTGGCGCACCACACCCCTTTAATCGCAGCACTCGGGAGGCAGAGGCAGGCGGATCTCTGTGAGTTCGAGGCCAGCCTGGTCTACAGAGCAAGTTCCAGGACAGCCTCCAAAACAATACAGAGAAACCCTGTCTCGAAAAGCCAAAAACCAAAACAAACAAACAAACACAAAAACCATAGACATCCCTAGAATCCATCAGACAGACATCTAAGGTGGGAAAATTGTTCACTGTCCCTTTGTGCATTCCAAAAATAAGAAAATTCAACAAGGGACTTATTTTCTGATACTTCCACTGCACATAAAGCTCGCTCAACATCTTCTCAAACAGCAGTCTCTACAAGAGCTGAGTCTGGAACTCCCCTTTCCAGGGCCTCATAAAACAGTGATTTATTGATCCACAGAGACAGGACTTTATTGTTATCGTTTTTTTTTTCCTGCTATAGGAACAACTGCCGTAGATAACGAAAAGACAAGCTCATGGCCCCATGGAAGCAGAGAATGGGCCTATTACAGTCTAGGAGACCAAAAGGAAGTGAGAGGAGAGGCACCTTAAATCCTATCAACCCGAGATCTGAAAGCTTACAACTGTGTGCCCATGTTCTCAAACAAAAAGCTAATCCTTACCCGGGTCTCCTGGCTGAACTCGGAAGGTGTGGCACAGAGCACAAACGTAACCACACCTTAGGGGATTTCCTTGGAGGGGTCCTCCATAGGCTTTTCCAGGGCCTATTTACTTATTGGTCTGTCTGCGTTACCACCTCAATAGGGGCCAAGTCTGACTTACCTCAGAATTATAAAGGTTTAATAGCTCATCTGTTTGGCACATTTCCTGAATTCAGGGCCCTATGCTAATGTATAAGGCCATAAACACTGGTGGTTTTTCATTGGCAGAATCCCTTTATGTCTAAACCACAGGCACCATCGCCTTGACCTAGAAAGCTGTCTTCCTGACCCACCTCTGGGATCATTTCTTCTCTGAAGCTTGATTTCTCCCTCCTTCCAGGACTACTGAGAAAACTCTTCTTCCCAAAGCACACCTTCTCCCTCCTCCTCTGCCTCCCTTACCCCTTGCTTTTCTTATCACATACTTCTTTATTGCCCTCACAGTTTCTCCCCTCGTCTTGGCTGTTAGGCTCTAACCTGGACAGATCCAGTTATGCATCCGTCCTGTTTCTTAACAGCATGCTTTACACTCTGTAAATGTCCACTGACGGCATCAGTCCCGAAGCCTTAGGAAACCCGGTGTATGTATGCATAGTTATCTCACTGACAACTGTGCAACTAGATAAATAGCCAAGCTACCAACATAGGAACGTAAAACTTTCTAAAGGCATATTGCCATTAGCTCTGAAAACAAATTCAGCAGCAAATAAAGGCAGACGGACATAAGACAGCAGGGACCTCCACTGGGGAGGCTGGACACAAACGAGGCGCCGAGAGCACCCAGGGTCACCTGAGTGGAAATAAATGGTTGATGCAGAAGTCTGTGTATTATTCAAATGCATACAATTAAAGCTCAGTGTGAAACTTCATTGTTGTAGTATCATTTGACTTGCGTTTTAGTAGTACATATTGCCAACAGACTTTTTAGGAAACAATACAATATCCTTTGGGGCAGTGAAACAGCTCATCAGGCAAACATACCTGCCACTAAGCATCTGATTTGAGTTCCCTCCTCAGACCCACAAGGTGGAAGGACAGATCTGATTCCCAGATGGTTTCTCCTCTGCCCAGCAGTTGTCAACCTTCGTAATTCTGCAATCCTTTTGTACAATTCCTCATGCTGTGGTGACCTCCAACTATAGTGTTATTTTCATTGCTACTTCATAACTATACTTCTGCTACTTTTATGAATCATAATGTAAATATCTGGCACGAAGGATATCTAATATGCAAGACATCTGATATGCAACCCCGTGAAAGGGTCATTTGACCCCCAAAGGGGTTGAGGCCCATAAGTTGAGAACTGCTCACTGAAAGTCTGACCTCTAGCCCACCTCTCACAAATAGAGGGTTTTTTAAATTTTTTGTTACAAATAAAAATTGTGTATAACTAACATGGCTTAAAGAAAAGCAGAAGGGAAATAGAAGTTAGGGACAGGATGATCAAGGAGATCAACTTATACCGTATATGCTCAGTTCACTGTGCTCACAAATTCTGCACACAACTCAAGCAACTGCTGATCAAAGACACAATTTTAAACCTGTGACTGTGCTGACTATGTAGCAACTTTTGAGTTATTGTTCAGTAACTAAGACAGCATAGCAAGCGACCCAGGTAGTATACACAACTGTCATCCGGAGATGAGAAAAGCGTATGATGTTTGGGATACAGATCAGTGGTGGGCTCTGGGTTCCATCCCTAGCATGGTCAAGAACACATCCACCACATGCATTCACACAAACATACATGCAAAATATGAGAGGCGATGGCTAGCTTCAAATGCTCTGCTATTTTGTTGCTGGAATCAAACGTGTGTACTTTTTTTTTTCTGTTTTCCTTTTCGCTGTGTGGTCAGGTGGATTTTTTTCTAGGCAGCTAGCTCTTCAGTGGAGACCCAGTTTTTTTAGTTCAAATAAGGTAGGTCCCTGTCTGACCTGTTGAACACCTCATTAAGCAACATTTGAAGTGCTTAAAGTAATCAATTCCATTAGATCCTTGTGCCTTCCCTTCCCTCTGCCACTCTAAGAGATGCATTCTGCTGGGAATAAAGTAGAATGAACCTTTACTAGAATCAAGTTCTTCTCCAACCTGGAACACGTTTCTGTTCTGATTTCAGCTAAGCTGACTTTCTCCTCTCTCCTCACCCCAAACACAGCTAGGTCTCCCAGGGCAGAAGCCTAATACTGTTATAACAGAAGAAAGAGAATCTAAAACTGTTAAGCCAAGAAACCTCGCTGACATTTTCCCTTCCCTCGGAGGAACTCCCAAGAGCACAAGACGTTGTTTCGAGTGAAGCGTTACATAGAGAGGCTTCGCTGCACTGCACAGCTGGTCCACCAAGACAGAAATGAACATTGGGCTTCACGCTTTGGATGGCTGCCGCACTGAATGATCTGGTAAAGAAATCACTCCTGGGAACCCCAGTAGAACTCCCCAGTAGAACCCAGCAGCCCAGGCTCTTTATCACACACCAGCTCAGAGGCTCCTTAAGTGTGGGGAAGAGGATGGACCCTGAGGGGGCTCAGGGAATTAGGAGCTCTTCCTGCATGGAGATTTGCCTGCCTGAGGGTATTCTCCACAACTGACTTTCCCCTCTTCCTCTAGGCTGCTGACGGCGCCTGAAGAGCCCCAGAAAGATCCTAGCCCCCTGAACACTATATACTCCTGTGGCCTCTTATTTCCATCACCACCGGGCCCCAGACCCCATCCCAGGAGGAGGCAAGGATTTCAAGGCTTGTTCCTGGCATCAATACCACTACCCTCGTTTCAATCATTGCAAAGACATATTTCATCCTAACATGGTCAAAGGGTTTTAAGCACAAGCAATTCCTGCTGGTCCACAAGTTGTTTGTAAGGAGGAGGGAGGAAAAGGGAGCCACGAAAAGAAAAGCTTGTCACCTTGGCCAAAGAAACTTCCCAATTCCACCTTTCTGCGCACTCAGGGTACTCCTCCTGCACCCCTCCACCCTCCCAGGGGAGGTGGAGGGGAAACTAAGAGAGGGGAAGATGTGAAGGCCAAGTCAGGGACTCCGAGCTCCCAGGGACCTACACGGATTGAAAGCAGACGCCCAGGGGAGCAGTCTTTAAAAGGGGATCACTAGCAAGGTCTGTGGATATTATTTCGAAGAGTGTCACAGAGGCTAGCGTTAGCTACAGGCAGGAGGTGCCTACTACGTGCGCCAAGGCTAAGCGTTCCGCAGATGCCCTGTCCGTGTGTCGGGGTTCCGCAAGCCACCTCCTTCCCTCCAGTTGTCTTTCCCTCACCCCACGCTCCAGCTGGAGGTCTCCTCGCCTGTCCACCCCACCCCCACGACCCTCCGGGTGCCTGTGGGGCGGCGGCTCCAGGAGGACTGGACCTTGGGGGACCGCAGGCGATGGCGGTGCCGGTCCTTACCTGCAGCGGGACGAGCAGCACGCAGAGCGCCAGCAGCAGCGCGGACAGCGGGCGGCGCCGCCGGGCGCGCGGGGCCATGGCGCGGTGCGGGCCGGCTGGGCGCGCGGCCTCTGTGGCCCCGCGGGCGCCACCTCCCTCCGCCCGCCTGGTCCCGCCCCGCGCATTCGGCTCCACCCAGCACCTGCCCCCTCGCCGCCGCCCGCGTCCGCCAGGGGGTGCAGGAGCGGGGCAGCTGGGGCGCGGGGCATGGGTGCCTTTGACATTCCACGCGTGCTCCAGACCTGCGCTGCCCACCCCCGCCCCATGTCCTTAGGCACTGAGTTCTGGGGGTGCAGCCACCCGCCGGCGGCTCTAGCCACCTGCCAAGGTTGCTTTTCACGTTCACTGGACCCTGCCTTGTTGTCCCCGAGCCTTGCACTGAGCCCTTCCAGACCCGGCCTGCGGAAGGTGCATCCCTGTTGGTTGACTATAGTTAAAGAATCTACACAATGTAGTGTCCACGGCACCCCAAACCTCCTTCCCCTCATCCTTGCTGCCTCGAACAGCAGCTTCCTCTTGAATCTCCTCGGGGTCACCTCACCTGTCTCTGACTCTCGCCCCCTCTGTTACACCCTGAGCAAGCATTCAAGGGTAAACTCTTGGCACCATGCTTGACAAAGCCCTTCACCAGAACCGCCAAGTCACCGCCTCTTAGACAGAACTAGTTTAAAGTCTGGTACGCAGCGATCCTGTTGTTTGTGACTTCTTATGATTGGTTTCCGGTTTTGTCTTCCTCCAAATTCCAGGTCTGTGTTGGCTACACTGGTACAACCCTACCCCTGTGTGAGGAAGATCCTTGTCTCCAGGCAATAGAAATACTGTTTTCAATTGCTTGGGTGCCAGAACCATCTCTGCCAGTTTTTCGCCCACTAGCTTAATGACTTTCTGTCTCCTTCTGAGAAAACTGTGGACATTTCTAACAAGGAAGACTGGATTTTTCTATTATTCCCCTCAGTTCTGTCAGTTTGTCACGCCCTTGGAGCTCCTTTGGACATAGAGGTTTAGGATTACACCTTGTCATTACTGCATGCCCTTCTTGATTCAAGGTAAAGTTTCACACTCTGGTCTACTTTACATTCATGGGTAGCTATGTCGCCTTTCTTATGAATAGTATTTAAATAGTATACCTGATTTGCTACATGTAAGCCTGCTGAAGATCACAACGCACAGTTTTGACCATCAGTGCCTTTTTGTTGGAGCATTTATGTCATGTACATTTGTCACCACCGCATATAGTGAAGTGAAATTGCTATTATTTTCTGTTTGCTACATCTTTATTCCATTTTTATTCTTGAATTCCTTTGGGTTACTTTAAAACAGTATTTTATGCATAGCAATACAAATTGTGTGTTAAAAATACTACAGTAGAATGACTTATGAAAATTATCAGGTTACAAAACCCTTTCCCAGAGAATTCCATTTTCTCCCCTATTATTAGCCTACTTTATGCCTATCCTTGTTTAATTTTATGTGTGCATGTGTACACACACTCATAAATTCCTGTGTGTTCCTGTGTACCTATACATGTTGAAGGCCAGAGGTCAATGCTGAGTGTCTTCCTTAATTAATTCTCCATCTTATTTTTGAGACAGGGTCTCTCACTGAACTAATTCTACTAGACTGGCTGGCCAGCAAGACCCAGGGACCCTTCCATCACCTCACAATACTTACTTGACTTTTAAATTCACTGCTGCCTAACTGATTCACTGCCCAGTTGCTTTTATGTTTCTGGAAATTAATGTGTGTGTGTGTGTGTGTGTGTGTGTGTGTGTGTGTGTGTGTGTCGCTTAAAGAATTAAAACTGAAAATTATTTGGTGAGGTAATTCCATGTCTAGGAATTTAACATGTTAATACACAGAGGGAGGGCACTAAACTATTTCCTATATAGCATTCTGATAAAACCACACACAGAAAAAAAATGTGACTATCAGTAGGGAAAGGTTTGGCAATACTGTACTTTACCATAGTTTGTAAAATTTGAGAAACTCTCATGTTTTTGGAAGAATTTTCCACATAGAATGTAAGAGAAGCAAGTTACAGAGCAATTCCATCTACGTTTAAAAGATCCACCACAACAGAGATTTCACTGACAGTAGTGAAGGGAGTTTCTGTGAGATTAACACCAGCAAGTGCTGAAGCATTTAGTGAGTGTATTCACCACAGCAGCCTTGAGAAGAGTTCTACATCTGACAACAGAGGCTCAGAAAGGCTCAGAACTTGTCTGCCCTCTCTGGGCAATGAATGGCAGAACTGCCTCACTAGGAAGTGACTTTTTAATACGCAGGGGAAATAAAGTCATAACTTTAATTTTGATGTTTTAAAAGTACAGATGCTCAGCTGGGTGTTGGTGGTGCACGCCTTTAATCCTAGCACTCGGGAGGCAGAGGCAGGTGAGTTTGAGACCAGCCTGGTCTACAAGAGCTAGACAGGACAGCCTCCAAAGCCACAGAGAAACCTTGTCTCGAAAAAACAAAACAACAACAACAACAACAACAAAAGTACAGATGCTCTTTGATTGATGATGTGGCTACAAGCTTTCTGGTTGGACTATCTTTTGTGGGGCCTCCAACTCCCTAATCATGACACGGAGACTTAATATTAATTATGAAAACTTGGCCTTAGCTTAGGCTTTTCCCAGCTAGCTCTTATAAATTAAATTAACCTGTTTCTATTAATCTACATTCTGTCACACAGCTCGGTTACCTATGTTCTGTATTGTATGTTCTACTTCTTCTCAGTCTCTGGTTAAACCTGTGCACCTCATTCTTTCCCCTCTTCCCCTCTCTCCCCTGAAATCCCGCCTAGGCTCTCCTGCCTTGCTATTGACCATTCAGCTCATTATTAAACCAATCAGAAGGTGCCCTAGATAGAGACACATCTTTATCGTGTACAAAAATATTCTGCAACACATGAAAATGAACTGAGTTGAAAATAACTTCAGGGTGTTGCTGCTTCCCGTCTTGCTCCGTGCTGAGTGGGAGCTCTGGTTCAGCTACGGCTAGCACGGTCAGAAGAGAGCATGCCATACACTCTGAGTCGGGAGGAGGATCAGGATCCAACAGTCTCAGCGTGGTTTGATGGGTGCTATTGCTCTGTGCTGTGACAAAGCTGGAAAAGTGGAGTTTAGCTATTCTAAATCAGGAACCCACTGAACTTACATTATTCTTTTACAGTTTTTAAAAGGAATTTTTACCTTATTTATGGGTATGCATGTATGCCTGCTAAGTTTTATGTGCAACCTGTGTGCAAGTGCCCATGGAGTCCAGAAGATGGTGCTGTTTCCCCTGGAACCGGTCTTATAAGTGGTTATGAGCCGCCTGATACGGGTGCTGGGAACCCAAACCAGGCTTCTCTGAAGACCTTTGAGTGCTCTTGACTACTGAGCCATCTCTCTAGCTCTTGCAATTTGTATTTTTAAACAGAGTCTCATGATGTAGTCCTGGCTAGCCTGGAACTTGATGTGTAGATCAGGCTGGCCTCAAACTTACAGAGATCTGCTTGCCTCTGCCTTTTGAGTACTGGGATTAAAGGCCTGTGCCACCATCTCCAGAGCTGCCTCATGTTCCACAGGTATGTTCCCATCTGCCTTCATTCAAGGAAAAGGGACAGAAGATTGACACCTGTTCTTCCCCCACCCAAACACCAAGAGTTCAAGGAACTGTAATTCATCATCAAGACTTTGGGGTTTCCAAGTGTTAGGGCCAAGGACCCTTACAGAGCTGAGGTCTGAAGAGCTGACTCATCATTTGCTTTGAGTACATGTCTCTCTTTAGATCTCAGATCAGAGACGGGTGATGGGTGAGACTCCTGCTGCCTTATCCCCACTTCCCACAATGGTCAAGGCCATCTTGTAGTCACATGTCTCACCCAGACATAAAGGAAAAGGCACTTAAAAAATAGAAAAAATTCCAATAAAGCTAATTCCCAACCCTTTGTGTGCTCCCCCATTCTGCCGTTTTCTTCCCCACTATTATTTCTTAGGCCTCACCTCCTTCTCTTTTCTCTTACTCCTAAAAAAAATAAAATAAAAAAGAAAAGTAATGTACCATTATGTTTGCCTCTCCCAACTCCTTATGAGAGGGTCTTATATGTAGTGGGACTGGCTATTAGCATCCAAAGGCTGGGGTTGAAGACCATACACACACACACACACACACACACACACACACACACACATACACACACACACACATACACACACACACACGCACGCACACACGCACACACACACACGCACACACACGCACACACGCACACACACACACATCTGCTTTTGCATTTTAAATGACAGTAGTGTAGACTTGGTTAGTAGATGTTTAAACCTAAGAAAGTATAGGGACATCCATAAATATGGGTAAAGTACTACTGAGTTGCCTTAACCTGTGCTGTCATGGATGTAAAGACAGGCTTTCTGGAAAGAGCAGTGCTTGAGAGACTGGATGAGACTGGTTCTGAGAAAAGGAACTGACTAGTGAGAGAAGGTACTTTTCACTGTGGCACTTTAGAAATACCAAGGCTCACTCCTGGCGCATTTCCAGCGTTGCCCTCTTCTATTTTCAAATAAGATTAAGGGACTGAAAACTTCTGCTTGGAAAGCCCCAGAGGTGAGTGTGCTCGTTTTGGAAGCACGTTTGAAAAGCAGAAAGCCCACATTAACATGATGTATCTACCAACATGGTTTTAGGAATTAAATTGCATGCAAGAATGTATTTTGATCTTAACAAAAGTGCCCCTCACATATTTTATATGCATTAATGTAGAATGCTGTTAGTTAATATGTGTCATTAAAACCAGTGTGAGAATCTCATCTTTCTCTTTTCATTTTGAGGGACAAGGTCTCACCGTACAGCTCTAGCTGAGGTGAAACTCACTATGTAGACCAGGCTGGCCCCAAACTCATAGAGATTCCTTTCTTTGCCTCCTAAGTGCTGGGATTAAAGGAACCATCATACCTGGCATGTCTTTCTTCTACATAGCATTGTTAGGAGACACATGAACCTAATTTTTTCTAATACTGTCCTAAATACACTGAAGAACA